TCAATGTATGCCAAAATTTCTGACATAACCCTAAATCTACTAGACTTTGAGAAAGCCATTGACAACATGTCCATGAACTCAGCCACAGGCTCAGACTAGTGGAACTCTGTGTTCATTAAGAACTACAAGAAACCCCTCTCACGGGCCCTAAGTATGCTATGGAGAAGGAGCATAGACACAGGTGAGATTCCACAGTCACTAAAAACAACGGATATAACCCCACTCCATAAAGGTGGCAGCAAAACAATAGCTAAGAACTATAGACCAATAGCTTTAACGTCCCACATCATAAAAATCTTTGAAAGAGTTCTAAGAAGCAGGACTGCAAACCATTTGGACTCCCAGCAACTGCACAATCCAGGTCAACAAGAGCTCAAAGCAGGTCGCTCCTGCCTCTCGCAACTACTGGACCACTAAGATATGGCCTTGGATGCACTGGAAAACAAACAGAATGCAGATGTAGTACACATAGATTTTGCATAGCCATTGACAAGTGCTATCATGGTGTAATAGCACACAAAATGAGTGCAAAAGGGATAACTGGTAAAGTAGGCGGGTGGATCTTCAATTTTCTAACCAATCGAACACAAAGAGTAGTGGTAAATAGAGTTAAATCGGAAGCTGCCATAGTGAAGAGCTCTGTTCCACAAGGAACAGTACTCGCCCTTATCCTGTTCCTCATCCTCATCAGACATAGGCAGAGATGTAAACCATAGCACTGTATCATCCTTTGCAGACGATACTAGGATTTGCACGAGTGTCATCCATTGAGAACACGGCAAATCTCCAAGAAGATATAAACCAAGTTTTCCAATGGGCAACGGAGAATAATATGATGTTCAATGAAGACGAATTGCAACTACTCCGTTATTGAAAGCTGGAGGAAATAATAACTAGGACTGAGTATACTACAAACTCCAATCACACAATAGAGAGGAAAAGTAATGTGAAGGACCTGGGAATGGTAATGTCTGAGGATCTCACCTTCAAGGACCACAACAATGCCATTATCACATCTACGAGGAAACTGATAGGATGGAGAACATTCAAGACAAGAGATGCCAAGCCAATGATGATCCTTTTTAAATCACTTGTTCTCTCTAGGCTGGAATACTGGTGTACATTAACATCTCCATTCAAGGCAGGTGAAATAGCAGATCTAGAGAGTGTACAGAGAACGTTTGCTGCACATATAAGTTCCATCAAACACCTTAACTACTGGGAATGCCTTGAAGCACTTGACTTGTACTCACGGAGCGCAGGCGAGAGAGATTCATAATCTACACCTGGAAGATCCTGGAGGGACTGGTCCCTAACCTGCACACAGAAATCACTTCCTACGAAAGCAAAAGACTTGGCAGGCGATGCAACATACCCCCAGTGAAAAGTAGGGGATTCATTAGTACACTAGGAAAAAACACAATAATTGTCCGGGGGGCCTAAGACTGTTCAACAGCCTCCCACCAGACATAAGGGCAATAGACTCCTGGTTGTCTTCAAGAGAGAGCTGGACAGATACCTATAGTCAGTGCCGGATCAGCCGGGCTGTGGTTCGTACGTTGGACTACGTGCGGTCAGCAGTAACAGCCACGTTGATTAGGCCCTGATCCACCAGGAGGCCTGGTCATGGGCCGGGCCGCGGGGGTGTTGATCCCGGAATGCCCTCCAGGTAGAAGAGAAAGCTTTGCCACCCAGGCCACGGGGCCTGGGTGATAATTCAAGTTGTTAGTGTTAGTGAAAATGTAAATGTTCGTCTACCACGTAAATTAACATAAATATATCTGCCAATTCATAAAATAATATTTTTCTAAAAAAAAAAAAAATTATTTCGGTTTGTTAGACGCGACAAATACAATTCTCTTGGAAAACAAATATTTGTGTTATTTTAATATGGACAAAAATTTTATTTTTTGAAGTTTAGACTCAGACTTTAGAGGCTTAAAAAAATTGCAGCTTTACCCAACATACGAACACAAAAAAAAATATATGTACACGGAAAGGCGTATGTCTCTCAGTGTGTATACTCTGAAAGTTTACTTTAATCCCATATATATGTATAATATATATATATATAATATATATATATATATATATATATATATATATATATATATATATATATATATATGCAGAAATTGCGAACGAACGATACAAGATGCTAAAAAAACCGAGGAGGGAATTGAATGATAGCTCTAGGCCCTTCATGTTGCAATTAACACATATGGAGCGTGCAATATTGCAGGAAAGAGGAGGTCCAAGCAGATATGATCAGAGGGAGTGCCGTTGTTGGGGCTCACTCCAGCAAAGGCGCTAAACCCATTTGGGTCATTGGGCCCAAAAACTGATTAAGACTTGATCTTCCCAGTAATCTTGCAACCAGTAAGAATTTTTACAAGTGTATATACGCTGAAAGATATATACTTGGTGTATATACCCATTATTATATTATTATTATTATTATTATTATTATTATTATTATTATTATTATTATATTATTATACAGTAACAATATTAAAGTCCATGTTATTTTATTTTATAATAAAAATGATGCAGTAGCCTAGAATTATTAGTAATACAGTTGTTGTTACATATGTTAACACATGACTTAATACACTATAATAATTTATATAATTCATTATAATATAATAATAATAATAATAATAATAATAATAATAATAATAATAATAATAAAATTATAATAATAACAATAATAATGCTTATATCAATAATGATAATAATAATAATAATAAATAATAATAATAATAATAATAATAATAATAATAATATTATTATTATTATTATTATTATTATTATTATTATTTTCAATCAATCGTCCGTATCCCATCGAGGCAGGGTGACCCAAAAAGAAAAACGATTTTGTTTTAATTTAGTTATTTATACAGGAGATGGGGGTTACTAGCCCCTTGCTCCCGGCATTTTAGTCGCCTCTTACGACACGCATGGCTTACAGAAGATGAATTCTGTGCTACTTCTCTATGGAAAATAATAATAATAGCAACAATAATATTAACATTATTATTATTATTATTATTATTATTATTATTATTATTATTATTATTATTATTATTATTATTATAAAACAGGATGGTATCGCGCACGGGCGAGGGAGGTCGAGAGATACCGAGGTAGCTTTATTGATCCTGTGTTCCGTGTGTCCGGCTGATTGATTCTTCAGCGGCTAGATCTATCCTCCCTCCCCCTTTCCCACCACCACCACAACCACCACCACCACCACTACCACCACCACCACCACCACCACCACCACCACTACCACCACCACCACCACCACCACCACCACAATCACCATTACCACCACCCACGACATTGAACTCACCTATATGTACTCACCTAGTATATGTGGTTGCCAGGGATCGAGTCTCAGCTCCTGACCTGCTTTGAGCCTCAGGCAATATGCTCGGTAAAATACTCCCCGCAGGTGAAGTATTGTACAGAACACCGGCCCTAGTACTGACCCGTGTGGAATTCCATCCGTCACGTGCATCCATTAATACACCTTTTCACAGACAATCACTCGTTGTTTCCTTCTCGTTAGCGATTCCTTAATCCATTGTAGTGCTTTCTCTATTATTCATGCCTGTTCTTTTAGCTTCTGTACTAGTCTGTTTTTTGCGGTACTGTGTTAAAAATCTTCCCACAATACAAGAAAAGGCAGTCTACAAATCCCTTTCTCTTTCTCTCCCCCGCTTTGCAATTATGCTCTTATTAAGAGAGAGAGAGAGAGAGAGAGAGAGAGAGAGAGAGAGAGAGAGAGAGAGAGAGAGAGAGAGAGAGAGAGAGAGAGAGAGAGAGAGACAGACAGACAGACAAAACAGAACAGACAGACACACACACACACACACACACACACACACACACACACACGCACACACACACACACACACAGATAGAGATATAAAATCTGGACACTGGTAAATGGCAACTCCACTGAACAACAGATAACCGAGGCAGAAGTATGATAAAAATAACAGAACTACAATGCAAATTTACAGAGAGCAAGTAAGACCACAGAAGAACCACTGATAACAGATTATTTCAATCACAGGGATAACAGACTGGGAGAATTGGGATCCTCATGGAGGGTCAGAAACGTGTAAAGCAAACTTGATAGGAACACTAATGGAAAGTTTCATGACCCAGCATGTCAGAGAAGCCACAAGAGTGAGGGCAGGGGACGAACCAGCTCGACTAGAACTGGTTTTCAACTTAATTGAATCTGGTATAGATAAAATTGAATATGGGCTACCTCCATGAGCTAGTGACCACGTGGTGCTCAGTTTTGAACCCACGAGTTTGAAGGCCTATCCAGAAAGCGCCTGGTGGCAACTGCAAGCGTCGTATCTATCAGGAGGTGTGGGAAGGTGAATTTCAAAGGAAGCCCCTGGATGACCCATTACTGAAGAGAGACCAATGGGGGAAAGTGCAGACCATGGAAGATGGCAGAGAATAGGGAGACAAGCAGAACCGTGAGGAATGACTATGCAAAGATAAGAAGGGAGAGTGCAGACACTGTACTTCCCATCTCCAGGATTCAAGTCTGGCCTGCCGGTTTCCCTGAATCCCTTCATAAACATTATCTTGCTCACACTTCAACAGCACACCAAGTCGCAAAGGCCATTTGTCTCCATTCGCTCCTATCTAACACGCTCACGCACGCTTACTGGAAGTCCAAGCCCCTCGCACACAAAACCTCCTTTACCCCCTCCCTCCAACCTTTTCTAGGCCTACCTCTACCCCGCCTTCTACAGATTCATATGCTCTCGAAGTCATTCTATTTTGTTGCATCCTCTCTACATGTCCGAACCACCTCAACATTATATTATAATATATATATATATATATAATATAATATATATATATATATTATATATATATATATATATATATATATTATATATATAAAGGAAAAAAACATGAAATACTCGCGAACGGGAGTTAGAAAGTTGGTTTGTAGTATTTACCTGGTGTTGGACGTGACACAGACCCCAGTCGAGTGCTTCAAAATCGAAGGTGCTGTAGGGGTAGGGCGTGTTTGGTGTCTGCGGTGTTTTGGTCGACGATTCTCTGCAGTAGGATGTGGGAGCGTTGCACGCCTTCAAAGAGAGCCCCGGCGTGGGTGGGTGACACTCCAGTGACAGTGCGGGAGTGGGCACATGGCACTCTTTCAATGATAACGCAGGTGCAGGCGTGTGACACTCCCTCAGTGACAGCGAGGGCGTGTGAGAGCCCCAAATTGAAGGTGGGGATGTGCAATAATGTAAAGTCTCAACTGACTCTTTTAGTGTCAGGGAAGGCGTCCATGATCCCCTTGGCGAAAGGGTGTGTGATCCCTTAACTGAAGGCGAAGAAGTGTGCGAATCCTTCAGTGATGGCGAAGAGCGCACAGGTGATTCCTTTGGGGAAACTGAAGGCTCTTGCGACCATTGTGTTGACGGCGAAGGAGAACGGGAACCTTTAGGCGATGACGAAGTGTTTCGTGATTCTTTTGGCGAGGGTGATCTCTGTGGTGATGACAAAGGATTTCGTGAAGATGTTCGACGTCTCAAACCAGACTGAGGAAAGCCTGAGTTCTTGTCTCCCTGTGACGCCTCTTGAGGGGCGAGGACATTCAGCCTATCTGGCCGCCGATGGAAAGTGAAGGGCTGAAAGGCACTTAAGTGTCCTGGTGTGGACGGGGCGCTCCTGGAGGAGGGAAGGACAGTGTCTTCGGACGTCAGTTGCGCCGTGGTATTGCGGCCAGGAGAGTGGTTTGGCGATGAGTGTGCCGAAGAAGACCTAGGATGATGGTGTCGTCTTCTTAAACTTGCGGCACGGGTCCCGATGTTCAGCAGTCCAGACATTTTAGTGAAAAAGGCGTTGTGTGGAGCGGCCTCTCATGGTCTTCATATTTCATAGTGACTCTTGCTTTCCTTCCCGATGAACAGGGAACCTAAAGCTGACTGTTCGACACACTACAAGTTCTCCAGTCAACTGGTCGCTTACCTAGAAATGATTTCATCACACTTCGCAGTGGCCGGTGCTACACACTGACCCTACTCTCGACACTGCTAGAGACGAGGCTTCGACCAGCGTCTGCCAGTATAAAGGTCACAACTTCGCAGCTTATTATTGAGATGCGCCTTGGTAGTGCTGCCATCTGTTGGCCAGGCATCACAGCGTCAATGTTGGTCTCATAATAAGCCTGGAAGTGCGTGACTCTCCCTGATACCTGGTAACCACTGACTTGGACCACACAAACACTTCGCGCTATTTTCAGATCCCTTAAGAAAATTCTTCGTTTCATAAATATCTGGAATACTATATTGTTTTGAAAATATGAAAACGCCTTTTTCAGGTGTCTGCAAAGATGGCCATCGTTGTACATCATGACACGTTAATTATATAACATATAATGAAAAATTTAGCTTATTTCCTTTCTCAAAAAAAATCTTTTTGAAGTGCGTAAGAAGTGAGGATTATCGTTGCTATTAATATCACATGGAAGAGCACTAAACTCATAAGGATCATACAGGGCTTGGGGAATAGAATGCATTCAGATTTGATCCAAGGCATAGGAGGGTAGTTCTGCTTCCTTTGATGAATAGTCCTTCACAATCATCAAAGCGTCCCTGAAGGGTAGGAAGCGCGGAATTTAGCGAAATACAGCTGAATGGGAAAAATTTAGCGTCTCTGTGTCAGTGCTGGAGGACGGTGGCGTCTAGCGCCTCAGGCTAGCCAGGACACACGTCCACGTCCTCATCCACCTGTAGATTAGAAGACAGTGTATCGAATCTTCACCAACACTATGAAATGCTGTACACTACCAGGCAACTAACTCAGTGGTAAAGCATTCGGCTCAAAAGCAAAATGTTCCGGACTATGATTCCCGGACAGAGCGTGACGTATTGGCAAGTCTCCTTACATTATTCACTGGCTGTGTTTATCTAGCAGAAAATAGGTGTTACCCGACTGTTGTGGGCCGCACCTAGTGCCACTCGAGTTCGGAAATCAGTAAGGCAGCGGTCTCTGCTGCCTTCACGAGCCTAAAGACTATCGGCAATCAACAAATAGATCGCTCTAACTAGATTCCATAACAAGGGCGTGACAAGCAAAGATTTTTCTCCTTCACACAGGCCGATAACCAGGAAAAATAAAATGACACACATACTTTCACCAGCAACATCTTAAGACATTCGATTATAAGATTCAAATCTCAGTGTAATACAGATTTCATCACTTGGGAACAACTTACAAATCATTGGTAAGAAAAAACAGCGGCAACAACTAAGGTGCTAACACGCACACAACACCAAATCAATCCTTGATTTTTTTTTTCACAGAATTCCTCAGAGCTGTTATCCTACTTTAACCCCTCCCCTCACCACGCTCTTTCACCACGCTCCTTCCCCACGCTCCTTCACCACGCTCCTTCACCACGCTCCCTCACCACGCTCCCTCACCACGCTCCCTCACCACGCTCCCTCACCACGCTCCCTCACCACCCTTCTTCACCACGCTCCTTCACCACGCTCCTTCACCACGCTCCCTCACCACGCTCATTCACCACGCTCCCTCACCACGCTCATTCACCACGCTCCCTCACCACGCTCATTCACCACGCTCCCTCACCACGCTCCTTCACCACGCTCCCTCACCACGCTCATTCACCACGCTCCCTCACCACGCTCCTTCACCACGCTCCTTCACCACGCTCCCTCACAACGCTCCTTCATCACGTTCCCTCACCACGCTCCTTCACCACGCTCCCTCACCAAGCTCCCCTCATCACGCTCCCTCACAACGCTCCCTCACCATGCTCCTTCACCACGCTTCCTCACCACGTTCCCTCACCACCTTTCTTCACCACGCTCCTTCACCACGTTTCCTTTTACCACTCTCCCTCACCACGCTCCTCACCACGCTCCTTCAGCACGCTCCCTCACCCACGCTCCTTC